GATCGATTCATTTCTAGGAGGCCAAGAGTCTTGGTCTACTTCGATGGATTCTCTTGATTGTCTTCCTCTTGCTTGCCCAAGGACTAAGGTTCACAGAATGCAAAAGTTAACTTAACGTCTACTTATCTAAATCAAGTTGCTCCGCAAATAGGCATATAAAGCGAGTCTCCTCGAAGACAACATCCTAATCAGAACTTCCCCTTGGCCGAACCGCATTGTTCTGGGCTGCGGAGAACAATTACTGGGATGCGGTAGAGCTGCTCATCCACCGAAACGCCGACGTCAATGTCTGTGATAATCAGAGTCGAACACCCCTGGCCCAGGCAGCAGAGCATGGACACGCAGGTGTCATCAACATATTAATCTTGGCTGGCGCCGATATTGAATCGCGATATGCGCTTGGTCTCACCCCACTAATGCTGGCGACGCAAGGTGCCTCTGATCGTGCAGTTCGTGCTTTACTGGCAGCAGGAGCCGATCCGAATGTCCAGGATACCGAGGGCCTTGGTCGGACTCCTTTGTCATTAGCGGCGGAGCGAGGCTTTGAGAATGTTTGCAAGGCATTAATGGACGATGGCAATGCCGCGGTGGACCTGGCCGACACGTCGCGTCGGACTCCTCTATTGTGGGCCGCGATACACGGCCACGCCAAAACTGTCGCCAATTTGCTACGACACAATGCCAACATAGAAGTGAAAGATGCGGTCCATGGTCGCACACCTCTTGCTTGGGCTGTTGAGAAAGGGCACGCGCCGGTGGTTGAGATGTTGAAGAGAAAACACGCATTCATCAATGAAGAGAGAAAGCGTGACAGGGCAGCCTTGCTCCGTGAGCCAAGCGCTGCCCCTGCTAGCAGGCCTGAGCCGCTGCAAACTCGGTCCCAGATCAGTGGACTCTCAGTTCCCGAGACGAGTGACCATCAAGACCGGGGTGATTTCCTAATTTGGGCGATCGAAAGCTCTCGTGAAGACGATGTGGAATCTCTGGTACAGCAGGGCGCTAGCTTGAACGAGCAAGATGAAAATGGAATGACAGCACTCGCTATCGCTGCGTACAAGGGGCAGACAGACACGGCGAAACTCCTACTGGAAGAGAACGCCGACCCAGACCCTTTGGATGCCTTTGGTCGAACGCCTCTGTCGTGGGCTGCAGAAGAGGGACATTTCGACGTTGTAGAACTTCTCATTGAGAGAAAGGTTCGCATAGATCTTGGCGATGAGGCTGAAATGGCACCCCTCTCATACGCAGCTTCTGGGGGACATGAATCCATCGTGTCTTTGCTTTTAGACGCCGGTGCATATTCAGATATTAAGGACAAAAATGGCCGGACGCCTATGTCGATTGCTGCAGCGGAGAGCTATGATTCCATTGTGGCACTGCTGTTGGAGAGGGGCGCCTCGCCAAATGAAGGTGGCGGCGAATCACCCCTTGATCTTCGCTGTAGGCGACGGCAATCTAGAATTGGCTGAATTGCTGCTTTCAAAAGGCGCGAATCCCTATTCGGATACGTATAGTATCACTGAGTATCCCCCTTTGGTTCTTGCGGCGGATCTTGGCAATGAAGCGATGCTCAAGCTGTTCTTGGAGTGCAATATTGGCTCCGCTGAAGTCAGGAAGGACCATGTCTGGAGAGCTTTGATTGAGGCTTCCCGGGAAGGCCATGTCGGAGTGGTACACGCATTGCTTGATGAATATCCTTTCGATGGCATGGAAGGAGATGACATGGACACAGATCCGCTGTTTTATGCCGAGGGCGAGAAACATGATGAAATCATCCAGCTTTTGAAGCCTTACTATGAGAATCATAAGCCCGCGGTCGAATCAGATGATTGAACACAAGTCGCCTTCTGCGTGGCTATACTTGGGTACGACAATTATGTATAAATGACAGTAACATCTTGTTTGCGTGACTATAAAATGCATCTCTGCACTAGATAATTCCTTCATAACTGGTAACGGTGGTGGTGGTGGTGTAGATTGTTACTTCATAGACAAGAGATGAGAAGGAAGCTTGTGAGAAGCAAATACTCTCACAGCACATGAGAATTTGACTGCTATATTGATTGGCGAAGGGCGTGTTCCCTTCATTTGACTCAGGGTTGGCAATGTCGATCCTTGGAGTCAGCATTTTTATGGTCGGAATGACCCGGGAGAGCGGTATAAGAGCCAGTATCAGCCGCAGAGGACGAAGCGATTGGGACATCTTTCGGTTCGGCACGCCAGCGTAAGTACCATGGGTAGTCAAAGAGATCCCCCATGCGCTCCATGGGAACGCCTTTAGTCTCCGGCATCAATACACCAAGGATGATGAGTCCCGAAAAGCAAATGATGGACCAGAAGAGGTAAGCACCCCAAATATGTAGGGAGACAAACATATTCGGCGTGACCCGCACGACGGCAAACTGAAAGAACCAATGCAGCGTCATGCTCAGAGCGTAACAAACATTACGTATGCGGGTGGGAAAGATTTCTGCTCCGTAGAGATAGGGAACAGTGCAAAGGCCGATGGACCAGCCAATGGCATAGACAAAAACGGAGGCAATAGCAGCATTGGAGGCCGACTGATTGTGGCTCGAACCGGGTCGGAGACCCATGTAGATGCCCATGTATATGTGGGCAACCAGTTGGAGGGTTAACCCAGCCAAGGTGCAGCGGCGGCGACCCAGGTAATCAATCAAGCCCCAGGTAAAAGCCATAGTGAAGACAAGTTTGATGATTCCATAAATGCCAGAAGATATCAGAGAATTAGCATTCCCAGTGACGCCAGCATACTGGAAAATAGTGGCAATATAGTAGGTGATTCCGTTACCTCCGGTCCATTGCGCTATCGTTTGGATGATCATTAGAAGCCAGAATCGCTGGCGATAGTTGGGATTGATCTGAGATTCTTTGAATGCTTGCCAGTGTGTGACCAATTTCAAATCTGCTGCCTTTTCTCGCACTTGAGCATTGATGGCATTGAACTCATCTTCCACACCAGGATCGGTGATATGCTTGCCACGAAGACGAGCCAAGACAGTACGTCCTTCTTGATAGTGTTGCTTTGAAATTAGGTAGCGGGGTGTTTCCGGAACCATGAAAGAGGCGAAGAAGGCGATACCAACAGGTATCAGCGGGATAGATTGCACTAGTTGGTATTGCGTGCGGGTGGCAGCCATGTGCAATGTAGCGCCATAATTGATGAAGAAGCCTATCAAGGTTCCAACGTTAGACCACAATTGGGCCAAAGGGAGGTAGAGAAGTTTGTCCTACCCATGGCTAGAATAAGTAGTAAAATGACCATGAAAGTACTCACGACCAAGCCTCTGGTCTTCGCAGGAGCTAAGCACGATTAGTTTTGTCCAGATTTGACATCTCAAGCGATCACCCACCAATTTCCGAAAGGTACAACGGAGCGACCACTGTCAACGCGCCCGCTCCGAGACCACCCCATATTCTGGCGAAGAGCAACAGTCCATAAATCCCCGATGAGAAGATCTGGATAAACAGGCCCGATGCCCAGACCAGACAAGCCAAACGCCAGGCGGGCAATCGGCCGACGCGGTCGTTCAAATCCAGAGAGAACAAGGCGCCAAAAGCCGCTCCTAGCACATTGAAAGACGTAATGTTGGCTTTGCGGTTGGCCAATCCAGCAGCATCATGTTCCCAGTGAGACCGTACCAGATTGTAGTCGTTTTGAAATGACTCGAGCTTGGTGCTGGCACTGAAGCCGCCCTCATCGTAGCCTGCAGCGCAAAGCTCAAGCGGTTAGTCGATGACGAGTTCAAACTGAGAAAGAGCAATTGGGGAACGATACCTTTGGGAATGCTTCCACATGAGATGATGAGAATGACCAAGGCGTAGAAAGGATTAGTAGTCCACCGCGACCAGTCGAGGGGCGCCCATCCCATAATGGCGCCAGGCGACGTCAACGCGTGGAGACGGGCTACCAGCCCAGGACAATTGAGGATATAATGATGAAAACAAGATATTAAGGCCGATTAAAGGAAATCTGGGGAAAGCTCCAGTCGCTGAGAGTGGAACACTTGGCCAGGGCCACGCTATGAATGACCACAATTAGGCGACGAGATTAGAGTGGACGGGGAGCCGAGATGAGGTCGAGAGGGGGAAGAAATTATCCACTCAGCGCGGGGCGTGACTTTCTGCCTCTCGGTCAACTTCCGCCTTCTTCCTTCTCTCTCCTTCTTTCTCTCCGATGCTCTTGTACCACTTTCTCTGCATCTCATCTGCACCCTTTTGTGACTTGTCTGCGCTCAGTGCATCATGATTTGACCAAAAAGTCCTTTTTAGTTCCATTTATTTCGTGACTTATTACGAATCATAGGAGGCATCAGAACTCCCAAATGTTTCTTGAGTAATATCCGGGAAAACACCCGGCGGCTCGCACCGCCAGCACCCACCGGCAGGTGCCACTTCTTCCAGGAACTGTTCGCGAACAACTTAGTCCAACAGCAGTTCAATGATCCAAGGCCTGTCACGGACCTCCTTCGGATACACGGAATGCAATCATTGGCCTTATTTTTCATACCAGATCTCTTTTTCCATCTAGCTCGCGGTCAAAGTCCGACCTCTTTACCCCTCTTGGGGTTCCCACAATCACTGAAGAGTGAGAATACATATTGGGATCAGCCCTGTCCTAGTGGGTCGCCAACTCCGGCAGTCCGGCTATATATTTCGCTTTGGTTCCCTTGCTCTTGGCCTGTAACTATTGCCTAGGCCCGTCCCCAGTATTTTATAAAACCATCGGCAAGCCGATGCGGAGTCTACCGTGATCCCTTACGTACCCACAATTATTGTCGCCGAACGGGGGATTTCCTTGCCGGCTCGCGGTTTCAGTGTTTTCAAGTCAACCATGTCTCGATACGCGTGCTTTATAAAGGGAGTAGTGGGTAGGCTGCAAGACACGACTTTCGTGAGTTCATTCTGTCCCGAGTTGAACCTCATGTCCTGTTGACAGCTTTCCCTCATTCTTCGCACCACGTAACATGACTTTGCCCTCTATGACCAAAGTACTCACAGACTTCAAGCCCAGGGCTGGTCTCTTCGGCAGTGCCCGAGTTCTACTTAGCACAACATTGCTCAAAGAAGACAAGAGCAGTTATCACCACAGAGATATACGCAGAGCCACTACACGGGCCTCCCCAATCAAGCATCGCATACCTTCAGGAACATGGGACTCGCACATGCACGTCGTTGACCCGCAGCGCTTCCCTGTCTCCCCCACCGCGGTGTACACGCCTTCAAAGCATACGATCGAAGAGGCCATGGCATTCGAATCTTCTTTGGGGATAGGAAAGATCATCCTAGTCCAGCCGTCAATATACGGAACGGACAATTCCTGTCTTTTGGGGGCACTCCGACACGTGGGGCCGTCTCGCGGGCGTGCGGTTGTGGTGATTGATCCGGCAACAATCGATTCCCAGACACTCGCAGATTGGCATTCAATGGGCGTACGGGGCGTGCGGTTGAACCTGAAATCGGTCGACACGGTGCTTGATGAACGTGACTTGGCAGAAGTGCTATTGCAACATGCGCAGGTCATCCGGTCCCTCGGATGGGTCATCCAAGTCTACGTCTCGCTAGACATGGTTCCGATGCTTGAGAAGATCGTCCCTCAGCTGGGCGTCAAGCTGTGCATTGATCATTTTGGAAGCCCCGATCTGACAAGAGCTGACAGCCCTCTGCAAGGTGCATCGCCATTCGATCCATACAGCCTGGCGGGGTTTTCGTCTTTGATATCTCTCCTTCAAGCGGGAGAGACATACGTCAAAATCTCCGCCCCGTACCGTCTCAGCAAGGACGGACAATACCGCGATCTGGAGGTAATGGCGCGAGAATTCCTGCGCGTGGCCCCGGAGCGAGTTCTCTATGCAACCGACTGGCCCCATACGCGCTTTGCTGGGACGGACATTGAGCCATTTACCGAAACGTGTCTGCGCCTGTGCGAAAGTGTGCCTGGACTGGCAGATCGAGTATTTCGGCGGAATGCCGAAGAGATGATGGGGGAGGACGCATGATACGCCGATACAACCCGACCTTACGATTCATGACTAGATTAGCATAATACCACATACCATTGATCACATGCAATAATGCTCACTGGTAACATCGACGGCAGACTCCGAAACAATCAGATCAAGAATTACCATGTATGGATTGTCATCTCGGCCAGGTTCCGGGCCGCGGTGTGGCCAGTTGAGAGAATAACCTTTTTTTTCCCGTCGGGAACAAGGAGGCAGATGAATTGTTCCCCTGGTAATCCGCGGCTATCCGAACGGGCTTAACGCTAACCCCCGTTGCCGTAGGGGCGCCTTCCAGCGACACTATTGCAATTTGCAGTGCAGTTCTCCTTAGTTGCAGGGAACTTCCGATCTGCGTTTTTCAACTATGGTTGAGTTCTGATTTCAACGCTTCAAGATAGATCATGCTTCCGGAAAACCTTCAGCCTTCAAGCACCTATGATCAAGATCTCTATTACGTTGCAACGATCATAATCTGTAGTGTTAACTTGTACGGGATTTCCTCCAGCTGTACGATGGCCTATTGCGTCGAGAAAAACGTCTCTGTTATCCAGATTGCAGAATGCGATGCGTCGAAGTTGTACCCCTAATTATAATCTCCACGATCACAGTTTCGCTGAGCGTGTAGAAGGCACCTGCACCCCAAACCCGTTCAACCCCACGGAGACCAGACAGTAATAGCCCACCAGGAAGACAAGTTCCTGCGCCCCTTCCACCCCAAACTCCTTGACAGCCCTATCCCAGAGAGGGTCCGGCAGTGGCCCACCCGCAAGAAGCGAGCGAGTCACCTCCAAGGCGCATAACGCGTCCGAGTCTAGTTTGGGCGGGACTCGACTATCGAGAGTAGCCGCCACCGTGTCGATTCCTAGAAGCGGCGTAGCCAAGAGGGTGTGGGCATAGATCTCATAAGCAGCTCGATAGTGGGCGCCGACGGCCAGGATGGCGACTTCTCGCACGGGACGGGACAGATGGCCCGGCCGGACCAGGAGGGCTTGAGTGAGAGGTACCAGTGCCTTGCCTATAGTCGGATGGTGGATTAGGAAATTCCAGGGTCCGAGAAGGGCCCCTTCAGCTGTGTGGCTCACGACGGTGCTGAATTTGTCGCCGATGATCCGCTGAATCTCGTCATAGAGGGACTTCTGGGCTGGGGATAGGTCTTTGGGAGCAACAGGAGGAAAGCGGGTGGATGACATTTCGAGATTTGCTGGCAACGTATGGACACTAAAGAGCTCGTTGTAAGTGTCTGTGCGTGTCTGCGCGGAGGAAGGTTTTGCCTTCCCTAGTTGAAGCAGAAGGCGTTTCTGAACAGTTATATCGCAGAGCACAAGATAGAAATACACATATACTGTCATCTTCGTCTATGATTGAAAGCGGTAGGATGGCATTGTGACATCCTTTGTAGGATTTGTCCCGCCACCCAGCCCAATTCCTGGATGAGATGAGGTGCTTGGCATTAAGGCCAATACGCCGTTAATATTATAATATTGAATGATACAAGTGAAGGCACGTTCTTCACCGGAATAAGATTCAAGCGCATACAGTGGTGCTGGTCTGCAGATCTCTGCCAGCGGCGTCAACGTAGTTGCAGAAGGTTTGTGGCGTCTGCCGGTTCAATAGATCTATAGAGTGATAGTATATGCAGCTGTATCGTGACGATTCGGGGTGGCGGGTTGGGTGAGAACCAAGGAAGACGATGACATACAGACTTAGAGGACAATGATCTGCAATGTTAAGTCAGTATGGCTGTCTTGGCGAGGATTACTGAGTATCTTCTTCCAGGTTGCTTAGAGTACTTTCCCGAAAAGGGTGCCTGCTTCAAGGACTGCCTGACCAGAGACATATACACATATGCTGTAAGGTGCGTGGTCTGAAAAGGCGTTCCGCTTGCCCTGGCCTGTGAAGCTTGGAGGCATTGATTCACTGCATAGAATAGATTGCAATACTTGACGGTACTATATAGCCTTTGGACGAACAAAAAAGAGCCCAAAGTACCATTTACTAATGCAATCTAGTCTAGGCACAGTAATATGATAGGCAAAAGAATTCTGGTTCATGAAAATAGTTTCAACATGGGCTACCGGTGTGATCAAAGGCGCAGACGAACCCATATCTTCCTTGGGGCGGCAGATCAAAGTTTTGCCGCCATACTCTTACTTCCGGTTTCCGGTTCCGCTGCCCTCCATTTCTTGGCGGAGGCATCACAGCGCTCCTGTAAGACGGCATGCAGCTTCTTCCAGCCATCTTCTTCTCGACTGAGATCCACTGGGCTCCCGGACCGATGGTGAAAGAACACATGGCTGCAATCTGTCTCTGAAACGACCGCATCTTGCGCACAGGACCAATTGACAACCCGAGAAAAGAACCGGTCCCGCCGAACTCCTTCAATCCGAATCCCAGTGATCAACTATTCGCTTTGTTAGAGACAATTGAACGACCAAAAGCAAAAGCAAAGAGAGTAACAGCCATGATTTAGTCATGATTGGACTAGGAGCATGAAGGACATACCAAATCAGGATACTTGACGGGTCTCCGTATTTTGGTTGAATATCGATTGGTGACCACTCCTATACCACGAGACTTAAAAAAGTCTCCAAATAGCCGGTCGCCAAGGACTTCTTCAAACGACTGAAAGAGGCGATAGACGCATGTGGTGGCGATGGAGGTGTACTGTGGAGCTTGAACATGGCCCCAGGGGTCCTGATCCGCGAAAAATGAAACTGGATGCGAGGACAGCGTGTCGTACTCATACCCCTGTTTTTCTAGAATCCGTAGGATACGCTCGATCTTTCTGCGATAAAACTCGCTGCCATCAGGGTGCTGGTATGAGGATGCGTCGAGGGCGGACTTGGGTCCCATTTTGCAAGGAACCCGATTCTTGAGGGATGTATAGTGCACTGTTGCCAGTGGTGCCTAGGAGTTAAAGATACAAGGCTGCTGTTTGTTAATGGATCACAAGAAGGTGACGGATTGATATGTTCGAGTATGCGGATTTATGAATATGTCAGAGACACCTGAAATTTTTAAGCGGCTTTGTTGCGAATGCCTTCGAGCTTGAGGTTGTAGCCTAGCCTCCCATGCATTCTTATACCGAGTAATTGAGCTCCGACCGCTTGGAATAACGCAAGGGCACTATGAACCAATCAACAATATGTTATCATCCTTCACCAAGGGAAGCAATAAAGCTCACTACCGGGCTTCCCGGGTGTCACTGCAGAAACAAGCCATTAAGTATGCCCTTTGATCAAGGTGGAAGATTCACATATATCAACTCCGAGTGACTTACCACATAACACAGCACAGTTGGCGTTTGATGGATAGACACATATAAAATATTCAGTTGGAATACGTCAGGAGCGATACCTACTCAGACAAGGCCAAGAAATAGGCAGAGCCATAACTTACTCATGTTTGAAAAGCCCATCAAAGGCCGCTTTCGTAGAGCTGCCTGGGCTCTTAGATGGGTATCACCTGTGTGAGTTGTTTTGATATTTGTGAGAATCCACATACATCTCTTCCTGATTGTGTCCATTCTCTCCCAATGCGCCAGTCAGCTTCGCGCAAAGGGTGCGGCTCCAATAGGATGAAGCGATCCAGAAAAAAGGTTCGAATAATGCTATCAAAACCGTCCGTTTCGAGTTTTGAGTCGGCGGTGTTTCTTCCATCGTACACCGCGGCTTAGTAGGATGCCGTGATGCTACCCTGACATTAGATGCATAATTGCTGTGAGGGTTCTCGCTGATGAATATGGTAACAGAGTGCTCATCGGGTTGCGCAAGAGCGATATTGCCATGGACTGACGATTTCGTGCCTCAATGCTAATTCGCAAGTATAATGTGCTCAGCTTCTACTTGCCTCATTTGCATCACTCTAGCTCTCGCAATGATACAACGGGGACGAGAGCGATACATACATAGGATGACCTTGACTTACCCTTTCCACCTACGTATCCACGAATCAAAACGGTGAGACTTAGCAGGATGCATATTTGGTACTAAGTATGAGCAATTTAACGCTAGCTATATGGGGACGCTGTGGGGTTGAAGACTCATGAAAACCTCGCCATCGTGCAAGGGTAGCGCCCAACAGGGTAGGGGCACGGGGGGGGAGGGCAACTGGGACTGATCTTCTGCTGAGGTCAAGTTTTGCCGGTGAAGATTATCTTCAGAAGGGGGCAACATCAAGTCCCCCTTTGACAAGCGCACCTCTGAAAGCACAATCTCGAGCTGCGAGACGATCTCGTCCCTACTCCAGCTCTTGACAGAAGCGCCAAATCTTAGCTCCCCTAATCTTCCAAGGTGTGCATTGCAAATATTGGACCATGCCATCGACTTAGCCCACATCAATAGACCCACCACGAGATCGCTTGGGATTGGAGGTTGGCTGGCTCTAAACACTAGACGCAAGGGGAAGCAGGCGGGCGAGCACCAGCAGTCCGCCGAGTGTTTAGTGCCGGTAGTCATCGTACCCTCTGGAACTTGGTCGGATTCCAGGAGTGGGTTTGTTTCCTCCAATGCGACGTCAGAGGCTGAGTCAGTGGATCCAGCGGTGCTGTTTCCAAAGAGCGATCCAGATCGATAGACGCGGCACCTTCGAGCCCTAGGGTCTCGATCTATGTGACAGGCATGAGTACAGGAAGGTCCTCGATTCACTTCTCAGGAGGTGTACGTACCCAGGGGTAGACGCCTACGAGCCAGAGTCACACAAGGTAGGCTCCTAAGCACGCGCTCTACATCGCTCGGCATCAGGGTGCAGCCTTGCCGAGACCGGCGCGGTCGTTGGTGAATGCTTTTCTTCAGAAGGCTCACCGCTTCGTCTGTGGACTGTATAGATTGACTGAGAGTGGCTAGGAGGCTAAGAAGATGCTTACTCCAGGACGTCGGAGCCATGTGCGCGGGAATCACCTGGTGTATAGGTGATTTCCACTGGTCCATGATGATGCGCATGTTGATGGCTTTCGCTCGATCTGATCGTTTGAAGCGCTGGAGGATGGGTAGAATAGTCTCGCGATAGCTGATCAACTGCCGGTATTGCTCAAGGGACTCATACTTGAAGGTCCAAAGATCATTCCGTAGCATGTGTTCCCAGCCGACATGGATAATCTCTGCCAGCCGTTCATCGGCGACAATGCCCGCGTTAAACACCTCGGTCAAAATCTCGAGTTGACAGAGTTCAGGCTGTCCCTCGAGCTCTTCTGCGAGAAGATCTCTAGCATCAACGGTAGGTCTGGCACACAGTGACTTTCTAATGTGTTCCATGTTGCTTGCGAGACACTGGATTTCCAAGTGCTCGTGTCGTGTGTGAAGCTGGTGCAAGTCATTTTATTGTAACCATTCCAGAGCCCGCCCTACGACTGAGTATCTATGATACTAGGTGTCCGCGTTGAGAACAAGATAAATCCAGAAAGCAAGGATGCAGGCAGGATCATCACACCTAACCTTGATTTTATAATGAAGACTTTTGTTTGATGCATTCTTCAGTATCTTTGCAGTATCTTGCAGTTAGAGAAGCATCCCATGGTTCCTCAATTCTGCCCGCTCACCAACCATATCATTTCATATCTTAACTACAGCATTTAATTTCCACAAAGGCGCTGCTCATGCAGCAAGCCAGGTTATGTGATAGGGCCGTCTTCGTCGCAGAGAATGACGCCTATGTCGATGTCGATGCTATAGTCAGACCTACGATAAAGAAGGAGAAATCATCAACTTCCAGGTTACATCATTGACAGCCTTGGTGTATGCACTTATGACAATCTTGTGAAGTGATTCCCCAGTCTTCAGGCCGCCTTGTCGACTTCTAGAGCTTTGGGAATGTCACGATTCGCAAGCAACTCTTGTAACTGACAGTCTGTTCCCCAATTACATTTGCTTACGAAACATAATCTGATGCCGCTCACTTGTGGTCAAGAAAATCATCCTCTTCCATCGACCCCTTCAAGGGTGACGCGTACTCCGTGCAAAGCGGCGCGAGTAAATCATGTATTTCGCGCTTCTTTCCCAAATAGTAGTATGCGGCCTATGATGCTATGGTGGGCACAATTGACTACCGAACTGAGTTACCTAGAGAGGAGAAGCCTATAGTCAGCCTTGCCCTCGATCTCATGCTACTGAAGCTACACAAAAATAGCGGTTATAATCAACAAACCACCAGCTCTCGCTCAGGAGACTTCGGTCACCTGAATTGCATTCTCCTTACTCAAAACGTCAGGAGTCGTGGAAGTCGAATTTCTGTTTTCTTCAAACTGACCTTATGATTCTACTTGAGAGGCGAAAATACCAACTTCTTCAAATGTCAAGACTCTACCGTCAGCAGCTTATGCTGGCAGCTTAAGCCGACGACGATAACGACGGAGCATAGGATTGGATACGGCTTTAGGACAATATACTCAGACTCTTCATAGCAACTCAAATGACTCGACTCAGACATATTGAAGTGTCAGAAGCAAACAAGATGAATAAGTGAATCCGTTAAGTGAATCCACACGTCGGACATGACAAATACGTTTCGCTGCGAGTGAAACCATCGAAGAAGTATCTGACTACAGTGGTATTGATATTTGCAGGTGCTCGATCTCATCAGAGACCAGAATACAGAGGTCTTTGACTCCAAGCCAGAAAAGTCCACCGGGGCCAGGCCAGCTCAGCAGCCATTGCAGCCTCAAGAGCATCCCAAGTCCGCGTCAAAAGAGTATCAGATACATAGTACCCGCCACACGAGCATCTAAACCCAGACAGGATGGAGTGAATAATTTGGTGAGCAGTCTGGGCTCAAGAGACTGTGCATCGTCTCCTGGTACATGCTGTCTTTTTTTGCCTCCAAGAATGTACGAGAGCCTGTGGTGGCTTTCCGCTACAATAGCACACGAAAAGCAGATCAAATGTGTCGGTGTTCCCGAGTGATTCGGCCATGTGATCCAAAGGCATTACCAGGCTTGTTCACTCACGGAGAATCCAGCTAGTTCAACCACCTTCCAGATTACCCATTTGACCATTCCAGTGGGACCACACCTTGTAGCCCCTTCATCCAGAAAGCTGAGGGACGCCCGCTAGCTTCTGATAGAGTCTGTCAAAGGCTCCTCTCCATGGTTCCATCCAACGGACCAGAGGAACGATGAAGCAGAGATAGCCACAGGTTATCTCGGTCGGGGGACGAGCCCGATTTTCGAGAAGCTTGCGAACCACTTTTTTCGCAAAAACTCCTCTGTCGATCGCCTTCTTGAAGAAACGCTGATAGAAGGATGACAGAGGTGTAGCTCCCACCTGGTTTGATTCTGTTGTTGCCAGCAGAGGGGTTGATATAAAACCACTGCGAAGGTAGACAACCCGAATCCCCAATGGCGCAAGTTCGTTGCGAGAAATATCGTTCAAAGCCGCCAGCGCAGCTTTCGAGGCGGAATAAACACCGAAGCCCAACCAGGGATAATCCGCAGATAAGGATCCGTGATTGACCACAATTCCCTTGGAGGCCCGCAGTTGTGGAAGAAAAGCATTTGTCATTGTGATTACTGAGAATGCGTTGGTCCGGAAACACATTTCCACTTCTTCGATAGTAGCCTCTCTTAATAGACCGCGCGGTAAACATCCCGCATTGTTGATGAGTACATCGAGAGCTGGAATAGAGTCTGAGAGTGCTTTGATGGATTTTGACGAAGTAACATCCAGGTTGAAAGTATGTGCGCCCATAGTTTGCAGCTCATTGAGACGAGCTACATCGCGAGAAGTCACGTAGATATCGTGCCCCTCACTCAAAAGTTGCCGGGCCATGGCATCACCCGCCGAGCCTGGTGACGCTCCAGTAATCAGACACTTCAAAGGATGCTGCGTGTTCATAATCTCAGTTCGCAGAAACCGTAGAGGAAGTTGAGAGTAACGATGAAAAGTCCCAAATATCGTCGTGCTAGAACCAAGAACTCTTTTATGTACGTACCTATACAATCGATTCTACTTTTGTTGAAGCCTTGGCCAATCGATAGCGACTATAGCAGTCGGCCCCGGTAATGGATGGCGTATCCTTTGCATTTCAGCGCTGCATGAGATATCGAAGGCTCTTCAAGACACTCTCGGGACTGAGGGGAAGCTCCGGGAGTCAAATCCTGCTTGGCCTGCATTTGAGTGATATTAATCACGCAAGGACGCTACTGCATTGGCCTGTTTGATTCTCCAGCCTAAGCTTGGGGGAGTGAGGAGCCCGCAGAGAAAGGCTCAGCCTGGAATCAAGGATGGCGGGACCGGCGGTTGTCTTTACTGAGTATGGACTTGCACAGCTCAAATTGCAGAATCGCAACTCGACAATCGAAGAAGCATATTTTCATCCATGACGCCAGATCGTTCCCGATACTTGTTTCTTGAGAACTCAGCCCTAAGTAAGATAAGTATATTGAGTATCGCAAACAAGGTGAAATTAAAACGGGAAGAAGCACCCCCCCCCCGACTCGGAGCTCGTCACCTGCCATTCTTAGCATCTTCGAAGAAAAGCCTGCGCTATCCTCGGGTTACGATGTCTCACCAGGAATACCTCCACGAGCTGGATGCCCATGGCATGCTGTTGTCTCAACTATCTTACTACCTTCCATTTGCCGAAAGGTACGAGCTATCCTTCTTACAAGACTGCTATGGTACCTTAGTGGAAAAGTGGCCGATCCTGCAGGGCTGTGTTGACTTAAGGGTGAGTTGTTTGCCGAATGGAAGTCTCCTTAGCGGTGGAAATCACTCATCGGTGAGGTTCTCTCCAGCGGCGAGTGATATTCGATCATACGAGTTCTAAGATTTCCGGGTTCCAACCTATCAACATTGAACAACGTGACCTTGGTATATACGATCACGTGGGCTCTGTGTGTTTCACGCCATCCTTATTACGTCTCCTTTCCAAAAAGATAGCGAAAAAAGTCACCTTGGGAAAGCTGAGGCCCCGGGTGTTTGCTATCAGTGTGACCAGGATGAAGGGGTGGTCTGTGATAGGATTTCATTTTGACCATTCACTTTGCGATGCTAGTGGTAGGCTCTCCTTGATTGTCTCATGGAGAACTGGGACACTTTGCTGATGCATCCGGGGTATTTCCCTCTTTCCCAGGACTCAACAAGATCATTCGCGCATACTGTGATATCATCCAGGCAAGACCACCTAGCCCCTTGAGGAGGAGACCAAGAAGCGTGCAGCTAGATCAGGATAGGAGCCCGACACGCCTCAAAGGGTCGGATGTCGACGATGATTGCCGTGGGCTCACAATCGGAGACATAGTGGGAGGATCAATAACCGCAGGGTGGAGACTCATCAAGGAAACATTCCGCTACTTCTTCGAGGAGCGGATTTACGGTAGAGTGCATGTGCCCGAGCAACTCGTTCGGAAATGGCAAGACGACTGTTCAGCTCAAGGCATTCGGGTGACTACACATGACACACTTACAGCTTGGATAGCACGAATAGTACGTTCTGCTGCCATGAGTGCTGTACTAACATACTTGAAGTACGTTGATATAAACATCTCTGCAGGTATTATCAACATCCCCCGGGCCGAAGTGGCGGCCATTCAACATTGGCATTCCGATCAGGGTTTCCGCATTGCTCGACGATACAGCTCATGAGAATGTACTCGAGAATAGCTTCATACTCTCTTCCCTGACTTTGAACCCAGAAGATGGAAACCTCTCGATTGCAAGCATCGCCAAGCAAATCCGCACGATGATCGATGCTTCCAGGCAGATCGACAATCTGCAGTTCGCAATTGACAATCAGGCCAGATACCGCTTCTCTCTAACATACCCCTTGGCCAAGGAATTAGGCTCTCCAGATCCGTGGCTGTTATTGTCTTCCTGGAATGCGATCGCACCCGATGAGGTCGCGGCAGCAGCCTTCACAGCGCCTGGCAAGACCCGGTTCATCTCATGTGACGAGCTGAAGGTTTTTCCGATGTGCGATCTCACAGTCCCAAATCTGAAGAACACCCTATGCTCTTTCAAGTGTCCGTGCGGTGGGTACTGGCTCCACGGGCCCCTTCTGACGCAAGCCTGGGATGCCGCCCATGCAGCCGTGGCTGCCGAGATTTCTGGGATTTCGAATGCGGATGCTGGTTCTTATCTTGTAGATACCCAGTGCTAGGTATTTGCACGTCAACCACGCTACGCACCGTCCTATTGTGTCGAAGATGGACGGCATCGAAGCAGCGTTCGACTTAAGAGTAGAGGGCTTACCTTCTACAGTAAATTTGTGATGGTGATACATGTGGCATTTATATGAAGATTGTTCATCACAAAAAATGTCAGAAAGGCACCTTACCATGGTCGATTTCATGCTTCGACGCATTCACCGCAAAATAGGGTCGGTCATCGTTCTGATTTCAGCGTGCTGAGTCTGATCATGTGCTATGCTTGAAGCCTGGAGTCGACGAGTGAACATATTCAGGAAGAGAGATAGGTTCCCTGAAGAATACCGAAGGCGTCGTTGTACGGTACCGATCTCAGAGTCCAGTCTGCTCTACAAACCATCCTACTTTTATATGAAGCCTTGGCTACTGGACAGCAAGCATAAAGGTAGGCCCCACAATAATGGCAAGCCCATACCCGACGGTCAATCTAACGGAAACAGATGCACCGACGCAATGATGCGGCAGCTGTCGAGCCTCTGCGTGCTCCAAGGACACGGAAACAAGACCTCCTTAGAAAGCCTTGATGAGGACGTGGATAGATATGTTCTGACTATCTGAGGCTATCGGCGAGGAACTAGCTAGGGCGACCGAGGTGGGCGATGAGCGGCGGCCAGGGCGAGGCCTTAAGGACCGCCGTCAAGTCTGCTTTGAGAGCAAAAGACACACGCGGGCCCTTTAAGTCATATCGTACTTATGAATGGGTAGGCGTGAGTAAGCTTTTTCAATTTGGAAAAGAGGTGGCGCGATCACAGTCTTCCCTCCTTCTCCACCCGCCCTCTCAACCTCCAGAAGCCTCATACATGATATCCTGAAAAGCTTGACCGACGCATGTCACCGGTTGATGTGCTGCAACATCGCGTTGAACAAACTAACCTAAAGCTCTGGAACATACACCAAAAAGATTCACACTTCGCGCAGGACGGCATCTGAGTGGCGTGTGGAAGAAAAAGCAACGGCATTTGTTCCATTCTTACGCTTCCTGCAAAACAATTTTCCCCTCTGCACATCCATTTGGTGTTGACGTGGTGATCGAGGTGTTTGGAACCCGAGAAGTATACGGTATAAGCGATAGTTACTGTTTTGTGAGTGATAAATGAAATAGATAGATCTATATATTGAGTCTTGAGGTATGCTAAATCTAACACTCTAAACGCTCTCTTTAGCTCTAGATTTGCGACGGAGGAACCGGGTTCTCCAATGTGCGAATCGCCCGGCTTTAGTCGGTGTATAATCTCTATCACGCTAGTCTTGATGACGTATGGCAGTTGATGATGCTGATGCTGATGCTGTTGATGCTATATGTGGGGTGAATATGCTTTCGTGACGTCGTGGAAATGTCTGTCGCTGAATGGATTTGCCTGGTCCACCACTTTTGGTGGAAAGGGAAACGAGGACGGCGGAGATGGAAACTGAGTTTACAAGCTAAAGCTTCTCACTCCATCCCCAAACAGACCACCAACATCGCACCTCGAGGGCCCCACCATCAGCCGACTCCCAATCATCGTAGCCGACCTCCTCGCCCTCGTCGACAACCGCCAGTCCGAGCTGGCCCATCCGCTGCCGAAAGTCCTGCACCTGCGGGAGGTACGCGTCGCGCAGGGGCATCTCGACGACAACACGGGCGTTGAGCCCGCGGCTGAGCCAGTGGGTGACCGTGTCGACGAGCCACTTTGGGTGGTTGGGCGAGTACAGCGGGTCGGCGGCGAGGATGAGATCGTACTGCTCGGCGGGTGTGGGGAGGGGCGTTGGCGGCATGGACCAGTCAAGCACGCCGGTGGTGACCGTCGCGCCGGTGCGATTGAGCAGCTCGACGTTGAGGGCGGCATTGTGCGCGAGGTTGGGCACGATGGCGGGGAGATCGGTGAGGTGGATGCTGGCGGAAGGGCCACGGAGGGCCGCGAAAGAGAGGCCAACAAGCCCCGTGCCGGCGCCGAGTTCGAGCGCGCGGAGAGTACGCTCCGGGTGGAGCTGCGGCGTGGTGGTGGTGGTGGGGACGAGTTGCGGGGGGGATTCGAGGAGGGAGTGCAGGCGGATGGAGAGGAGGTAGGATGACACCCAGGTTTTCATGCCCAGGTTGTCGCTGGTCAGGGATGGTTCATGCAAGGTGAGCGTGTATTCTTCGCCGTGGGAGGTCGGGATCATGAAGACTCGCGACATGGCGGGCATTGCTATGTGGTGAGTGTCAGAGCGGATCCTCCATCGACCCAGCCAGCCCTCTCCGCCGGTGGTGATGATCACGGCTACGACAAGCTACATTTCATTCTACGTACCGGTTCGACCTGAGCGCTCGCTGAGTCTAGCCGCAGCGGCGTCCCAGACAGCCTCCCGAAGCTCCTCGGTGTCGAGCCATGCCAAGGGACTCGAGATGATCGAGGTCAGATAGCGGGTGATACCGGCCGGGTGGACGGTCTGCGCCTTCACCGCTTCAGGGGCTGTGAGACCAAAGCTTCGCGGCTTTGTTGTCAGAAGACTGAGAGCCTGGATGAGTTCAGTGCCTGAGGGCTTAGTATGGATCTGGGGAAGATCGAGCACTGCGACGGGCTTATCAGTTCATTATCGCTCCTATCTATCAGGGGCTAAATTGGAGGGGCAAACGCACCGTGGATAGGCTCATCGGGATCGGCGCTGATCATGATGTCGGTATGCGGAGGGACGGCTTGACTGTGCTGGATGCGATACAGGATGGTATAGAGGTTGGTGAAGCAGCTCTCTTTCTTATAAGCCCCAGATCTGTGGCGAAACGAGCGATGGGGATAGAAGATCTGGGCCTGCAAAAAAAAAGTCGAGATTACCCAAAGAGGAAAGGCTGGTGTGCGTTGTTCCGCGGATCGGATCCGCTCCGGCGGCGCAGTTGAACCTTCACATCCCGAGATAAGCAGATAACCACGTTTTCCTTCTGATCAAATACACACTCTCTGCAGACCGCCATCTAGACATGAAAGAAAACATGGAAAATTCGGTTGGTATCTAACCCCAAACGCCCAAGCACCAATGCTGCAAGATAAAAGACATTCTCCCCCTCTGAATTCAACAGGCGGACTCAGCCCAGAGTCGATTTGAAACCCATGTACGCTTGCTCGATATCAAAGGACAGTTCTCTGGCCTGCTCCTCACTGAGTTCCTCGGTCGCTCGCATTTGATTCAATGTGATCAGCCACTGGATAATCTTGCCCCGGTTCTCAAAGTCCGCGTCTGTCACCTTGTTGACGGACTGGATCACTTCGGAGAGCAGAGGGTGCAATGCATCTTTCGAGACCATGTTCAATTTCAGCGCATCGAGGAAAGTTATGAAGTTCTCGGTGGCTGTCAGAATCAAGGTGCCAGAAGCGCCGCCTGGCGGACCTGTTGCTGCCGGGGCCATGTTCGCCGCGGGGGTACTATGAGTGGCTTGTTCCACTGTGGCGGGGAGCCCGATTCGTAGACGTTCGGTGGCACGGGGGCATTCCAACTAGAGATGCGCATAAACAATCAGCCATGAATATTAGAAAACGTTGAGGATATACTCACCCCCCATTTCCGCTTGAAAGTCTCGAGGTCGACGAATTCCCCGGCGACGATATCATCTCCCAAGCTAGACTTGTACTGCTTCAGTAGACGAGTGCAGGTCTCCGTGTACTCCGATTCCGTGACCACGTCTCTGATATACGCCTTCTCAAGACCATCCAAAGTGACGATGATACTGTAAATCTCCGCCAGGGATTCGTGAAGATCGCGCTCCGCCGAGCTAGATGCTAGCTTCACTTCCTGGCATTGCGTGATGTGACCAGTCAGCGAGCTACGATCCAACAAGCAGACCGTACGGCTCTAGCTTACCTCATCGAGGTTGATGGACGCAGCCAGCGCCGGGTTGGGCGTATAGCTGTAAGGCGTGGGAGCATACGACAAAGGCCGTTGCGCATACATGGTTGAAGAAGCGAGTATGCCTTGATTGATTGACAGACAAGTGATGCTCGAACTGGACCGGCCGGTGTCCCGCATGAGGGGAAACCAATGAACCCTCAAGGCGGTCACCCGATGAAAGTCGCTGCTCACCGCTCAATTCTGCCGCAACATGTATTTTTTTCCGTTCTCCAGATTTTTTTCCCGGCTCCCTGAGATTTCGCGGGATTCCTTCATCTCTTGAATTTCTTCCCCCCCAATTTTACACCTTTCTATCTCTCCGCGAAATCATCGTGAAGGGAACATTCCGGCATCATGGCTGGAAGTCAGAAGAAGTCCACCAAGAAGTTCGAGAAAAACCATCTGAAGGATGTTCTCGAGCGTCGAAAGGCCACCGCCAAGATCAAGCAGCGCAACCACCTGAAGGAGAAGCGTAAGGCCGACAATGCGAAGCAACGCGCAGAGCGGGAGGACGATGCGGAGGAAGACACCGAGCAGGTCCAGAAGCAGAAGGACTTCGCGGAAATGAACGTCGACGATTTCTTCGCGGGCGGCTTCGACATCCCCGATTCGGCGGCCGAGTTGAGCAAGAAGGGTCGCAAGAAGGCCGTCACCCCCAAGATCGGCAAGCGCAAGCGCTCCGACGAACAGAAGGACGAGGAGGCGGCCTCTAGCGGTGCCGAGGAAGACGGCAGCGATGCCGAGGGCAGCGGCCCCGACGACTTCGAGGCGCACAAGGATCAGCTCGAGGCATTGAAGGAGAAGGATCCGGAATTCTACAAGTACCTGAAGGAGAACGATGCTGAGCTGCTCGACTTCGGTGATCACGGGGACCTTGCCGAGGTCGACCAGCTGAGCGAAGAGGAAGAGGAGGAGGAAGGTCCCGCGAAGAAAAAGAAGAAGGGCTCCAAGGCCAAGGCGGAGGTGGAGGAAGAAGCGGAGACGCAAGACAACACATTGACCCTCGAGATGGTCCAGAAGTGGCAGAAGTTGATGGAGGAGCAGCACTCGATCCGGGCGATGCGCCAGGCGGTCCTGGCCTTCCGCGCGGCGGCCTACGTCAGCGAGGGCAACG